GGCAGAAGTTGGTGCCAGGGTCTAGGGTATTGCTATGATAGGCCCGACCCATGTTTTTGTTTGGAGGAATGTGGATTTGGGGATTTTGGATTAGAAAGGTATTGAATGCCTTAAGTGGAGTTTAATGAACCATGGTAAAAAAAAAAAAAAAAAAAAAAAAAAAAAAAGAAAGAAAGAAAGAAATGCCTGCTTTTTGCCCTTGTTCAAAGTGAAGAGATTTGGATTAATTCCATTGGCAGAGGAAATCTCAAAACAGCCTAGTATAGACTATGTTGTATTGCTATTACTGTTTACTCTTATGAAAATCTATAATGACTAGGAGTAAGCTGAGCAAGAAAAGTTACAAAATACAAAATGTACAACTTCAGGAGAAAAGAGACACCCAGAAGTGGAATGGAGCTAAGTGTTATGTTCAAAGAGATAAACAGATTAATGAAAATCCTGATGTTAAATGAAATAAAGGGAGTGGTGATCTTAGGACAAGACCCCACCCAGCAAAGAGTCAATTTATGAAAAGGAATTGAAGGAAAACTTAGATCCAGCCATGTTGTACACAACTATAATCCCTGCACTCAGCAGACACAGACATGAAGATACCTGAGTTCAAGGCCAGCTAAGCTTAGGCAGTGAAGGAAACCATTGAAGCTAATGAAGATGTAATTGAACAAGAGCATGTTCCAGCCCCAGCAAGCAGCAGAACTTGGCAACTTCATCCATGTGGTTCTGACTTTAGAGAAAAAAGAGGTTGTAGAATCTTACTCTGTAGCCAGGCATTGGTTGTGCACACCTTTAATCCCAGCACTCTGGAGGCAGAGGCAGGCAAATATCTGTGAGTTCCAAGCCAGCCTGGTCTACAGAGCTAGTTCCAGAACAGGTTCCACAGAAATATAGAGAAACACTGACTGGAAAAACAAAAAACAAAACAAAACAAAACAAAATAATCTCATGCTGTGACTAAGCTGCTGAGACCATGAAGGCCCAGAGAGGCCATTGTATGAAGCTTTGAAGTTGAAGCCTGGATTGCTTTGAAGACGCTGAGATGCTGGAGATGCCAGGACAGCTCCTAAAAAGGAATGGACCCAACCAAGAGAAAGAAGTATGTTGCAGTCAGCAAGGCTGAAAGGAATTGGAGATCTGAAGAGCATTTTGACATTAGACATGGAGATGTAGAGTTTGGAGTTTGCCCAACTGGTTTTCAGTTTTGATTTGGTCCAGTATTTCCTCATTATGTTCCTTTTCCTCCATCTTGGAGTGGTAATATATATCCTGTGCCATTATATGTTGGGAGTATGTGATCTGTGAGTTTTGATTTTGAGTTTATAGATTAGTTAAGAGATTGTACGACTCTCAGAAGACACTGAAATTTTAAACATTGTTGAGACTGTCTGCTTTCATCCTGCCATGCTTCCCACCATGACCATAATGGGACTAAACCTCTGAAACCGTAAGCCAGTCCCAATTAAATGTTTTCCTTTATAAGAATTGCTTTGGTGATGATGTCTCTTTACATCAATAGAAACCAAAACTGAGAAATTCCTCAACTTGCTTTTTGGTCATTGTGTTTTATCACACAATAGAAATTACAATTAGAACAGGTATAAATAATAAACAGATATGTTGCTGAGCTAGAAGCTTTCCTAAATGGTGAAAATCTGGCAGATTCACTTGGACCAATGGCAGAACAATGAGAGCCCTAGAGACTGGTATGTGGGCAGTATGAAAAGTCAAAGCACGCAGACACTGGCAGAGTCCCAAGGACTGAAGAGTGTAAGGCGTACAATTTTTTCCGCCTGCCGCCTGATCTTGTTTCACCGCCGCGCCAGCCCAAAATAATGCACAGAGACTCTGTATTTGATATTATGTTATTGGCCAGGTACTAGTTTCTTATCGGCTAGCTCTGTCTTAATTATTAGCCCATTTCTATGTATTTCCACATGGTCTTACCAGGGAGAGGCGGCTGGCGGTTCTGCCTTCTCCAGACTCTCCATCTTGACCCTCCTTCTTACTACTTCCTCTTTCCTCCTCATCTCCTAGTCCCGCCTATCTTGCTTTCCTATTGGCCAACAGTGCTTTATTCATTAAACCAGTATGAGAAACATATTTACATAATGGCATCTCCTATCAGAAGAGGAAGTATGAATTCCTTTGTGTACACTGTGATAATAATATTTCAGACTAGGGTCAATAGAAACATTTTTCTTACAGTTCGGGAAGCTAGAAGGCTAAGGTCAAGTCTAGCTCTATTCTGACTCCTTTCTTTGGCTTATAGTCACAGGCTACCACCATCTCCCTTTTCTATCAGTTTCCCTCTCCCTCACTCCCTCCTTCCTTTTTAGATTTTACTCTCCCACCTCTCTGTGTCTTTCTTTCTGTGTGTATGTATATATAAGTGCACTGGTATGGCATGTGGGAAGGTCATAGGACAATTTGTAGGAATCAAATTCCTCCTTCCACCATGTGTTCTGGAGATTGAAGTTCCTTTACCCCTGAGCCCTCTTGCTGCTATTTTGGTTTTTAAAGTCATGGTCTATATAGTCCAGGCTGGCCTCAAGCCTGGACAACTACTCACTGTGTAGTTGGTACTAATCTTGAACGCTTGACTCTTATGCCTCCACCTCTCAAGTGCTAGAAATATAAGCAAGGATACCACAACCAGTCCAAATAGCCAGCCACCTTTTTGTATTTTTGTTTGTTTGTTTTTGTTCTGTTCTGTTTTGGAGACAGGGTTTCTCCATATTGCTTTGGAGCCTATCCTGGAACTTGCTCTGTAGACCAGACTGGCCTCAAACTCACAGAGATCCGCCTACCTCTGCCTCCAGAGTGCTGGGATTAAAGGCATGTGCCACCAACACCTGGCTTTTTTGTTGTTTTTGTTTTTGTTTTTCAAGACAGGGTTTCACTGTAGCTTTGCAGGCTGTCCTAGAACTTGCTGGCCTTGAACTCACCTGTCTGTGCCTCCCAAGTGCTTGGATTAAAGGTATGTGCAACCACTACCCAGCAGCTAGCCACCTTCTCATCATGTTCCTACCCGTAGTTTTTCTTCTGTGTGAATCCACATGATGTCTCTCACTGAGTCCATTCCCTCTTTTGAAGACACAATACAGAATGTATTGCCTACCTCATGGCCTCATTTTAACTGGGTCACTTTTTAAACGTCTTTGTCTCCAAATACAGTCACATTCTGAAGTACCAAGAGTTAGGGCTTCAATTTATAAATTAGGGTAGAGACAATTCAGTTTATAAAAAAATGACTTATAGTTAGAGGCAGTCTTTGAGAGAATTGGTCTATGGTTCAGATTGTAGACCAAAGTAAAATAACAGTACCACAGCTCAGGATGGTTATTGGATGAGAGAAAGGGACTTTCTGGCATCAGCTGAAGTAAGACTGGCATGTAAATGGGTAACTCTATTTCCTTGTTTTGATAATTGTACTATGGTTATGCAAGAGGTCAACACTTGGGGAGGATTGAGTAAAGAGTATATAGTGACTGGGCACCATGACACAAGCCTGTAACCTTAGTTAGTTCTTAGGAGGCAGAAACAGAAGGATTAGGAAATTGGCCAAGCTGTGCTTCATGAGCTCTGGACTCAAAACAAATGAGCAAGAGTATATGAGAATTCTTTGCGTTTTTTGTATGTTTTCTTGCCTTTTTTTTTTTTCCAGATGGGGTCTTATTATACATAGGGTGGCCCTAAACTCTGGGTAATCTGCCTCAGCGGCTCTTTCTCCAAGTGCAGGGACAACAAGGTCTGCAATCACATCCAGCTTCCTTTATATAATTTCGCTACATTTTTCCTAAGTCTGGAATAATTTCAAAATTAAAACACTTAGTTGGTGAGAGGTCTTAGTAGATTAAGGCACTTGTCTCCAAGCCTGACTAACTGAATTCAGTCCCTAGGACTTACGAAGTGGAAGGAGAGAACTGGCCTCCACCACCTGGGGACCCAGGTTTAATTCCCAGCACCCACATGGTAGCTAATGATGGTGTGTAACTCTGTGGGCACCTGAGATGATAGTGATGTGCAGACAAAACACCCATACACATAAAATAAAAATAAATATAAGAGAATATCCTTTAAAAGGTACTAGATTTAAGAGAGAGAGAGAGAGAGAGAGAGAGAGAGAGAGAGAGAGAGAGAGAGACATGGTGAACACACAGAAGACAGAGAGGAGAGATACTGGATGAGAGAGGTTGAATATCATGGAAGGAGGGAAAGGCAGGAAAGGGCATGGGGAAAGTGAGTTGCACAAAGTCAGGGCTGTATCGGTTGCCCAAACGCCCACCCAGCCTTGCTTTTGGAACAGATGCCCAAGCCTGTTTTAGGGTGACAGGGTCACTGAGACACAAGCTGAAGTGGGGAGGGTAATCAGAACACCATCCAGTGCTATTTCATTCATGAAAGAACTCAGCCTGACTTCTGACCTCTGACCCATAGTGACATAGAAAGCAATGTATTGTGTGGTAAAAGAATGAAGTCTCCACATGCTAGCATCTCAAGTACATGACACTTTGGTAGCTGAGCTAGCTTTCTTTCTTCATTTTTATTGCAATTGTGGGGAATTGAAGCCAGGGCCTTCTGCACACTAGGTAATCGCTACTACAGAGTTTCATATCAACCCCACCTCTTTAGAAATAGGATTCACGTATCACAAAATTTACCACTTTAAATTGGATCCCGTGGCACAAACTTGTAATCCCAGAATTTGGGAGATGGAAGCAGGAGAATGGGAGTTCAAAGTCATCCTCAGCTACACATGGAGTTGGTTGGAGATCAGCCTGAAACACATGAGACCTTGTTTCAAACAAATCCTGATCTTAAAGTGTAGCAGCCACGGGTTTTGGCATATTCATAAAGTCTTGAAGTTATCTTCAATGCCCCGGTGGCAGCCACTGTTCTTAAAATGCCCGGCCTTTTAAGACCGGTCTGCTTTCTGTCGAACTACCTCTCCTCCTTCTGCAGATTTCTTGTAAATTGTCCAAACCAGGTGAACTCTGCACATCTCAGAAGCTCCGCCCTCCGTCACGGGATTGGGCATGCGGGCATGCGGATTGGGGTGCACAGTGGTGTCCAATCGCTTTGGCGCCTGCGGCTCAGTCAGGTGTGCGAGCGCGGAAGGCACTCCAGCGAGTATGGCGAGCTGGTGGCGTGCGTTTCCACGGGCGGCGCGGCGCTATCCGTGGCCCACCAACGTGCTGCTCTATGCTGGGCTCTTCTCGGCGGGTGATGCGCTGCAGCAGCGGCTGCGGGGAGGCCCGGCTGACTGGCGCCATACTCGGCGCGTGGCCACTCTAGCCGTAACCTTCCATGGCAACTTCAACTACGTGTGGCTGCGCCTTCTGGAGCGCGCACTGCCCGGCCGCAGGCCGCGCACGGTCCTGGCCAAGGTGCTGTGCGATCAGACTGTCGGTGGGCCGATTGCCCTCTCGGCCTTCTATGTCGGTGAGGGGCCAAGGCGGGACTCAGAGCCTGGGATTAGAGCACTGGAGGCCTGGCAGAAGCCTCGGGGGTCCGGGGTGGGGTGGGGAGGACTACGGGAGGCCGCCCGTCGAGACTGGAGATCTGAAGCTATTGGGGTTGAAGCAGAAGGTGACAGCTATGCGACCAGGGAACCAGGGCTGGAAAGCAAAGCAGTGACAGGAGGTCTGGACACTGGGGGACTTTAGATTTCCGTGAGGAAGAATTTGGGGGCTGCTGGCCGAGGAACTGGAGATTCAGCATGCCAGGGATTTAAAGGGTTGCTGTCAGATCTGAGAGGTTAAAGTTGGCGTGTTCAGGATAGAATGTGGGGGGTCTATTTTCCTTCAGAAAAGGGCACATCCAAGAGACCCTGGCTTAGCTGCCTAGCAGCTGCATCCCTGGGTTCCACCTGTTATGGGGGGGGGGGAAAGCCACATTGAGGCTCTGCAGCTACTTCAACCAAAAACGAGGGGATTGGTAATTCTGGGAACAGAGTGAGTGGAACCTGCTATTATAGAAAAGTCATTTCCAGAGCCTTAGTCTTGCTTAGCAACAAGATTTCCCTGGGGTGGGGGTGTTACACAGAGAATGGGAGGGTCTTGTGTACCTGAGAAGGAGCTGTCTTCACACTGGGCTGGATGGCCTAGCCTTGGAAAGCCTTTCTGCCTGTTTCATTGGAAACAACAAAGGTCTCATGTTTCTCTCCTTACCGATTTCTGTACCCTCGAAGGCAGTGGCAGCTCTGGAGGGCCACTCGATATCTGGAGAGTTTTCTCCAGGGATTGAACCTGCCCTTGTTATTGGGGATGGTATCACCATCAGTTTGAGTCTAAAGCCTCTGGCCTCAAGCTGTGTCAACTGAATTATATCCCCAGTGTTTAGTTTGTTTTTAATTCTGAGACAGGGAATAAGTGTCTCAGACTGGTCTTGAACTTGCAATTCTCCCACATCAGTCTCTCAAATTGCTGGGATGACAAGTCCCTGGCCCAACCTGTTAATGTCTTCTGGAACTGGCTAAGGGAAAACTAACCGGCTAAAAGAAACACCCCCTCCTGGGGGAGGTATTTTAGGGAGAATGTATTCACTTCCTAGCTCACAGGAATCATCAAAGATCTGGCGGCCTCTTATAGTCTCAGCTAATGCCATGCTAAGAAGTTTAATTAAGTCAGAATAGATAAGCAGAGAGCTAGAGCCTTCTGATTTGCCCAAACGCTATGCCGTGTTCTCTGCTTTGGTCTCCCAGCTAGCCTTGCAAACGAACTCCTATACTTGCTACAGGTTGGTGCAGTGGTGAAGGGGTTAAGAGCCAGGACCTTCGACTTGACAGGCTAGATTCCTATTTAATCTTTGAGCTACCATAGTACTAAGATGGATACTCTCACAATTCCCATGTTATAGAATGAGGAAACAGGCATTTGGGGTTTGGCTGTTCACTGGAAGTCAGCATAACCCAGGCTTTCTGCCATGCTCTTCATCTTGATGGTGGTAGTTATAGTATGTGTGATCACTCTGAGACTTGGAAATGGTGCTGTCCCAGGGAGTGAAAGATGTCTATGATGAAGGCCTGAGGCCTTTTAATAGATCACGGGCCTGGATTTTTGCCTCATCATAGTTTCTTCAGACTTTTGGCTCAGTCTCCCCTAGTTCATATTACAGTGAAGGGGAACATGGGTGTGGAAGTGGGACATGTAAGTGCTACTTGAAAACTGATAGTCAGGTGGTGCACCTGGATAGGTCCTGCTATTCGTCTCCCTAATCACTTTAGTTAGACAAAACCATACTGTGTATTGTAATATCACCTTGAATTCATGGTAGTCCTCCTGCCTCAGCCTCTTGCTTGTTAATTTTACAGGGCCACCATGATTAGTTGTCTTATCCTCCTTTTAACTCTTCTCATCTCAGTTAGTTATTAGGAGGGTGAAAGGATATGGTGATATAAGTATTTAGTACAAACTGGGTAAGCAGGGGTACAGTACGAAAATATTTGCTGGGTTTTGTTTTCAGTCTTGTTTTAAGAATCTCCTGCTATTGGCTAATAACAGTCTTATGCCCCCCCAAACACACTCACCCAGTGCACAATCAGGGCTATCAAAAAATTTTAAAGTGTTGTTGTTTTTATACACTTCTTTAAAAGTAAGGTTTTGGATCTATTTTCTTGAATGTTAAACTCTGGTTAGAATATATTGATGGGAAAGTTGTAGTTGCTAGAATATCCAGGGCTCAGTAGTTTTTATTTTTGTCTTTTAAAGGAACGAAGTTAGGGTGAGGATGTGGCAATATGGCTCAGTGGTAGAGGGTAGGTTTACCATGCTTGAGGCTCTGGGTTTAAGCACTAGCACAAATAAAAAAGAACAAAAGAAAGGAAGGAGAAGGAAAGGGGGAAAGATTAATTGTTTTTGTTTTTCAAAGTTGAGGCTGGGGTGCAATTGACAGAGTTCTTGTTTAGCACCTGGCTCCACCCCCAGAAACACATTTCTGGGCATGGTAGTTCCCATCTAAATAGTTCTAGCACTTGGGAAGCAGAGGCAGGAGGATCAAGTCATCTCCAGCTACCTACTAGTGAGTTTGAGACCAATCTGTCTTGAAGTCCTGTTTCACAAACAAATAAACTGGGTATGGTGGTACACACCTTTAATCCCAGCATTTGGGAGGCAGAAACAGGAGGATCTCTGTGAGTTTGAGGCCATCCTGGTCTACAGAGAATGTTCCAAGACAGTCAGAGCTACACAGAGAGGGGAAAATAAAGAGTTGGAGAGATGGCTCAGAGGTTAAGAACACTTACTCTTGCAAAAGACCAGACTTCAATTTCCAGTACCCACATTGCAGCTTACAACCATCCACTGCACTGTGGTGTACATACATATGAATAAAACATTCAAATGCACAAAACAAACCCAATTTTTTTAAACACTTAAAAAAAAAATAAGGGGGCAGAAAGATGGCTCAGCTGGAAAAAGCACTTGCTACTAAGCCTGGCAATGTTGGAACCCACACTGTGGAAAGAGAACTGACCCCAGCACGTTGTTCTCTGGCCTCCACACTTGGGCAGTGGCAAGTGCAAACACAAATAATAAATAAATTAATGTAAAATAAAGATAAATTAGGAAGCCATTAGCAAGCTCATTATCCCATGCTAGTATTGGCTTGCATTTTGTGAATTCTTCATTTAGATAAAGAATCATTCTGCTGTAACTTTTATACATGGCTTTTCTCATTTCCTACTTGCTATTCCTTTAAAATTCAGTTTTAAAATAGAGATATTCTTGTTTTCCTGTTGGGTTAACAGCAACATAACGAAGGATTGGAATTGGATGCTGTTGGGATGATAAACTTGAGCACACTGTTATACAGTAACCATTCTACTTCTAAAATTCTTCTGTTGTATTTCGGTAAATAGGTATGAGCATTCTCCAGGAAAAGGATGACATATTTTTGGATCTAAAGCAGAAATTCTGGAATACATATAAGGTAAGACTTGCTTTTGAAAATGTAATCATATCTTTTTAAAACATTTTAAACATTAAGGAACACTTTAGTGGCTGTTGAGAAGGCTCAGAAGGCTCAGTGGGTAAGGAGTTTTCTGCAAAGCCTAAGGACCTGAGTCACTGCCAATGCATCCAGGCATGTGCTTTGTTGAGTCTTTGTGACCTTCTCAATGTCACAAAGGTGTTTCTAGAAAAGGATACTGTTTCCTAAGATGATTCCCAGTAAAGCAAGCCTCCTGTTGTATTCTCTATTTAGTATAAGGCATATGGTGCTGTTGAACAAACAGTACTCATGCATTCAATGAGAGCTTATTATCTTCAGGCCCAGCAAAGTCAGTGACATTTCTCAGCTCTAATCCAGCACTAATTTGATTGAATTAATAACAATCAGATAGATACATTTTCAGGATGCCAGAATATATCCCTAATATCTTACATGTACCTGGTTCTCTACCTGGAGCAGTACTGGAGAGTGGTGTTTGTTTAGTGGAAGGGGGTAAGGGAATTCTTCAGTTTAAAATCACAAAATCCACGTTGACCTATTACCTGCACTATTCTGCACTATTTCTAGAATTTTCTGCTGGATGGTTCTGAGTTATTTGATGACTGAAGGCAAAGGGGAGTTTTGAAGCCACTGAACCCCCTGAATCTCCATAGTTAAGAGACATTTCCTGCAAGGATGGGGTTTAGAACTCTTGCTACTTCTTTTGTGGTAGAAAGTGTGTCCCCATAGAGACTTTGGAATGTGACTTACTAATCCTTTATTTTACAATGGTGAGTGACATTTCCCATTATATCAGATTCAAGAGAGATACACACATATGGCATTTTTATTAATTTATGTATTTATTGGTTTTGTTGTTTATTTTGAAACATGGTCTCACTGCGTAGCCCAAGCTGCCCCAAACCTGCCCTGTACTCAAGGCTAGTCCCCAAATGTGCAGTTAATCCTCCTGCCTCAGCCTCTTGAGTGCTGAGATTAGAAATGTTATGGGCCACCACACTATGTTGTACATCTAATGTTAGAAAGAACAGGGCAGAATTGGAAGTCCAGGTCATTGGTAATCTCCCTTAGTGCTGCCCAGGGTGCAGAGTCCTGGGAATCTTGCAACAGCTTATGTTTTCATTCCTTTTCAGGGCTGGGATCAGATCCAGGTCCTCACATATGTTAAGCAAGTAATCTATCCTACCTACCCACATGATACCTCTATTGTTGTTATTATTATTATTGAAACAAGGGCTTATGTAATTAAGGCTGACCTTGAGCTTCTTATGTATCTGAGGATGACCTTCTGTGCTGGAATTTGAACCCAGAGATTTGTGAATACTAGGCAAACAACTCTACCAACTGAGCCATATTCTCAGCCCTATTTTTGGTAGTGATAGAGAATGACCTTGGGCCTCAAGCATGCTAGACATACATACTACCACTGAATTATGCCCAGCTCTTTTTATCTTTCATTTTTTGAAAAAGGAGTCTCACTGAGTTGTCTAAGCAGTCCTCCTGCTTAAGTTTCCCAAGTAGCTGGGATCACACAATCTCCCAAGGAGCCTCTGCCTCTTTCCCCTCCATTCTCTTTCCCCTTCTGTTTCTTACCCTTCCTTTGCCCCTTCCTTCGCCTTCTCTTTTTTTTTCCTACAGTGCTGGGGCTAGAATTCAGGGCCTTGTGCATGCCAGGCTGTGCCAAATCTTAGCCTCTGCACTGTTTCTGATTCTGCTGGGGCTGCCCTGCTATGCTGGGTGCTGGGTGCTCAGTCTTCCCAGCACTGTTATTTACCAGGTGTCAGCACTGTACTGGGAGCAAGTCTGTCCCAGCTACTTCTTTATTGTGGCTATGTACTCTGGGATTCTTTTCTCTCTCTCTCTCTCTCTCTCTCTCTCTCTCTCTCTCTCTCTCTCTCTTTTAGTGGCTTATAATTCATTACCATGTTTAGTTATTTTTGGTACTCTCAAGCTTTCCAGATTTGGTCAGTGAGAGGTCCTTCAAGCTGGTTTCTATGTCCCTATAGCTTCCCCTGTCTTAGACACACACACACACACACACACACACACACACACACACACACTCACACACACACACACAACCTCCCAAGTGCTAGGATTAAAGATCACTCCTGGCTCATATATATAGTTTTAAAAATTAATTATTGAAGTGTGGTGGCTCATATTTATAACCCCAGCACTCAGGAGGCTGAGGCAGGAGGACAGCCATGAGTTTGAGACCAAGGTGAGCTACAGAGCAAGACCCAGTTTCAAAAGAAAATACATTTTAAAAATGATTTTAAAAATTAAGAGGTTGTCAAGATGGCTCAGTGGGTAAAGGGGCTTGCCACCAGGTCTGAGGACCTGAGTTCAGTCTCCAAGATTCCAGCAAGTATCATCTGACACACACACACACACACACACACACACACACACACACACACCTAGTTAAATGTAAGAAGAAACTTGTGATGTCAGCTAATCTAATCTTTTTCTGTATCAAGAGATAGTATAGATATATAATTTGCATGTTGTTTCATAAAGAACTGTTTTGATAAGCCAGACATGGTGGTGCACACCTTTAGTCCTGGCAGTGGAAAGGCAAAGACAGGTGAATCTCTATAAATTCTAAGCCAGCTTGGTAAATAGTGGACAACTCCAGGCCAACCAATAACACTTAGTGAGACCCTATTTCAACAAAAATTATTTTTGGTTTGGATATACTTGGAAGAGTTCACTGATTTAAAAAAGTCATATATATTATATGCTGTTATTTGGAAATTATAATATATAAATATTACACTTTTATTATTTTTTATTATTTTTAAAGTACCTATTTCTTCCAGAACCTCTGCCTGACTTTTCATTCTGCACTTATGACTATAACTAACAAAAGATGTACTGACTTACAAGCTGTGACCTAAAGTCTCTACCTGCTCTACTCTCAAGGCATCAAATCTTCATTTAATCAGCTCAGAGTGCAACCCAGTCCTAGCTGGGCACCCTATGTACCTGGCATTTCTTAGTCCCTTATAGAATGAACTATGTCATTGCTTTGTAACTAGATAGCATTCTAATGAGGATTTTTCTTTATTCCAGAGTGGTCTGATGTACTGGCCTTTTGTGCAGGTGAGTGCCAAGCTATACAGAATCTGGGTCTGGGCCTTGGTTCAGTGGTAGAACATTTGCCTAGTATGTGCTGGGCCCTGGAGTTGTGTCCCTAGCATGGAATAAAAATAAAACCCAAACAAGCTCTGTTACCTGACCATTCTTAGCAGACTCTCTCTGCGTTGCAGCTGACCAACTTCAGCCTTGTCCCTGTGCACTGGAGAACAGCTTACACGGGACTGTGTGGTTTCCTCTGGGCCACCTTCCTATGCTTTTCACAGCAGACCGGCGATGGTACAGTGACGTCCATGTTCATCTTCTTTCGCAGGAAGGAGGCAGGTGACAGGCCCCCAGAGAAGTGAGGAGTCCAGGGCTCCCTTCAAGACTCAGTTTTGTTTCTCCATTGCTCTCAATCACCTGCAGCAGGCCTGCTACACTGACCAGTTATAATGGGCTCCATCACGAAGAATTACTTATTCCATAGACCCACTGTTTTGAAATTATCAATAATCGTTTTAACCATTATCCAAACCTTTCCTATTCATTTGAGTCTGAAAGTCTATTTCCCTGATGTTTTTTTATCTATAATGCTTTGGTTAAAATGACAACAGTGACAGGTGACATTTTGGAGTTATTAATATTTCTATTCTACTATCAGGGCAGTTTTGATTGTTTGTATTTCTAGCCTAAACTCTCAGGCTATTTCCTACATGCTTTGGGATCAAGTTGCCTTTTGTCCTTATAGTAAGTTTCTATCTATATAAAATTCAGTCAAGAAGATTGGATAATCAGCCTCCCCAAATACTCCATACTAGTTTATTATTACACCAACACTAAAATTCTGTAAGCAGATGTTTTTATCTTCAAAAAGGGAACAGTGTTGGATATCTTCTATATAGAATATTTTACTACTTTTTTTTTTTTTAAAGATTGGGTCTTTCTTTGTGAACTCAGGCTGCCCTGGAACTCACTGTGTACTCCCAGGCTGGGCTTCAACTTTCCAAGAGCTGAGATTATAGACATGAGCCATCATGTCTTACTCTTCTACTTTTATATTAAACCATCCAAGTGCAGTGCTCTTTAATTGAAGCCTTCTAGCTTCGAGAAGATACAGTTGACCAAAGCACTCTAGTTCCTACATTATGAAATAAAATATTTGGTTTCTTAAAGAAATACATTAAATGGAAAAGTTAGAAAACTAATCATTTCCTTTCTCCCTAAGGAAGAGCTGTAGTCCATACTGTACCAGTGTACACAGTTTGCAGTAATCCTCCTGCCTCTACCTTCCAAAAACTGGGAGTATAGACATGAGCCACCCTGCCTGGCTTTGTGTATGTGCATGGTCCTAAGGATAGAACCCAGGGTATTGCACATGCCAAGCAAGTGCTCTGTCACCAGCTGCACCCCGGGATGCTAACAATATTCTTTTACAATTCAGTGCTTTAAAACTCAGTATCTTTATACTTTGAAGTGGACATAGAAACATTAGTTGATCTTTCACATTTGTTCAGTTTGTCGAATCTCAGCCAGCCACCATCAGGTTTCAGAATTATCTAAATAACCAGGTGTGCAGGTGTGTGCCATCTATTTGGGAGACTAATGGAGGAGGATCACTTCGGCCCAGGAGTTCAAGACTGTACTGGACAAAACAGCAAGTCCCTTTCTCAAAACCACAAAAATAAAAAAATTAAACTATGATTGTCTCAAGAAATTCCAGCAATCTCACCTAAAACTTGCCCCCATGGTTCTGTTGCTTCTACAGACATACTTGACAGATTTCAAGATGTGAAACCCTGAATTCTGAGTTTATCTTGAGAATGTATATTTAAGGTCATTTTTGGAATTCATACTTAAATTTCTTAGCATGTAATTTATATGGCTTGTAATATGTTTGTATAAATTATGAGCAAGTACGTTCTAAGTGTCTAAGTTATTGGAATGTAATAGATATTAATGTGTTTTACATTAGGGCAGCAGTAAGAACTTTTCTTGACTGTATGGTTTTGGAAGTTGGGTGACAGTGGTGCCCTGCCTGTAATCTTAGTGCTCAGTGGGTGGAAATGGAATCCCTGGGGCAAGATAGCTTTAGCTTGACCAGCGGGGTGGAGTCAATGAGCTCAGGGTTCAGCAGGAGATATGGCATCAGTATAGTGGTTTGGATGAGAATGGCCCCATAGGCTCATAGATTTGAATTCTTAAACAACAGAGAGTGGCACGATCTGAAAGGATTAGGAGGCATGGCCTTGCTGGAGTAGGTGTGGCCTTGTGGAAAAAGTGTCACTGAGGGTAGGATTTGAGGTTTCTGAAACCCAAGCCAGGCCCAGTGTCTCTCTCTCCCTTCCTGTGGCCTGTGGATCCAGATGTAGAACTCTCAGCTACTTCTTCAGCATCATGTCTGCCTGCATATGTGTCACCACACTTCCCACCATGATGATGAAGGGAACATGCAAAAGCACCTTGGGCTGAGTACTGTCATTTTGACCTCAGACTCCATTTTACTTGCACGTGAAAGAAAGCTCAGGTTCCCAAGCCCTAAGGGAACTGAGAACCCTCCAATGGCTGCCCAATCTCCTCCCTAAACCATAGAAACAGTCATTGTGCATCTTTAGGACCCTAGAAACATTGTGGCTGTTCCTAACACCAGAAGGAACAAATGTGTCAGATCAGTTGGGCTGTCCAAGCTCTCATTCTATACTGATTGACAATGATGGACACCTAAGGAAGCCCCTAATCTCTAAGTCCTGATGGGTGAAAATTGTAACTGTAACTTGGCAGCAAATGTTTGAAATTTTTGTGCTTATAAACCCCACTTCTGCACCAACTTGGGGCTGTCAGGAGAAACAAGGCTCCCAAGACCTTGTCCTACAGCTCTGATCAATCATTGACCTGCTTATATGGTGATTAAATAAAATCTTTGGAACCCATAAGTGTCTCTCGCCTTCCTCTTGGTGCATAATGGGCTAAGTGTAACACAATAATGGAATAAACCTCTGAAACTCCAAGCCAGCCCCAATTGAATGCTTTTCTTTATAAAAGTTGCATGTTCACAGTGACTCTCCACACAGTAGAACACTGACCAAGATAATCAGTAATGTGGACATAGATCAAAGATAACTTGTGTCAGCCTCTAGCCACCATGTGCATACACATACATGGCAGCTCACAACCTCCTGTAACTCCAATTCCAGGGGATCCAACACTCTTGGCTCCTTAGGCACCAAACATCCACTCAACACACTCATACAGCTATATAATAAAAGCAAATTTTTAAAGAAATCTCTGAGGAAGAGGTCAGGTGTGCAGGTCAGGTCTCTCAGTTCAAGGCCAGCCTGAACTCTCACCACACTAACTTTTGTTTTTAATGACTTGAGGAGGGATTTTTTTTTTCCATTTTTTTTTTTTTACATTAAAGCCTAGAGTTTAAAGAATTAACTTCTGCCTTTGGAGTATATTTAAATAGGGCCTTCACATTAACTATGTGACTAAATGTATCTCTTCTATAGACATAGATGACCCAAGGTTCGGTTCCTAAGTGGTATGCCCATCTGACTGCCTTGATTACTATTTTCCTTCTAAAGGCCATCATCTTTCAAGATTCATTAAGAGCCATTGAAAAAAATTACTATTTTTTTTTCTACATGGGCAATTTACTTTTAGCTCATTTGAATTTTATGTATACTTCTACAGTGTTTTCTAAAAACACATTATATCTAGAACATACTTAACTTATCTAGGAGGCTGTTTTTATTGGCAATTAGATTCCCTGTTGTTGCTTCTGACTCTACTCTTTGGTCTTTGGGGGCCCACCCACCCATCTCTCAAATAAGTCATACCAAGGTTTATTATGAAAGTCTGGACTTAGCTTGGCTTATTTCTAGTCATCTTTTCTTAAATTATCTTATCTACCTTTTGCCTCTGGGCTTTTATCTTTATCTTATACACCTTCCTTTGCTTCATACTCCGTGGCTTGCTGTGTAGCCGAGAGGCTGGCCTCTAGAGTCCTCCTCTCCATCTCTTTTTGCCTCTTGATCTTTTTCTCCCAGATTTCTCCTCCCATTTATTTTCTCTGTGTGCCAGCCCAGCATTTCCTATCTCCTACCTTGCTATAGGCCATTTATCTCTTTATTAGACTAATCAAGTGTTTTAGACAGGCAACACAGCTTTATTAAACAAATTCAACATAAAAGAATGCAACACATCTTTGCATCATTAAACAAATGTTCCATAGCATAAACAAATGTAACACATCTTTAACTAATATTCTCCAACAGTTCATCTTCTGAGAGTTAAAAAACTAAAGTGTTTCTATTACTGAATTGTTTTTTAGGCAGGCTGTGATGTAGTTCAGGCTTCCTTTGAAACTATGTAGCAAAGATTCCTCTACATCTGTGTCCCAAGTATCAGGGTTTACTGGCATATCTTAGAATCTAGAGGGACAAATATGACTGAAACTGTGGAAATTTTTTCTTGTAATATAATCAGCAGCCTATAAACAAAAAGGGAAATCTTAAATTTAAAGATAACAATGTAGGAAAACACCAATCTCTGGAGTTCCTACATTCTACACCGATGCAAACAAATCAGGTAAGACAGGATATAAACTGGGAGATATAAACCAAATGGTTCAAAGTTCTTATAACACTGTACAAAAGACAGAATTGTATGTCATTCTCATGGTACTTATAGATTTTACAGAACTTCTCAATATAGTTACTGACTCTCAGTACACAGAGAGTCTTCTTACACATTGAAATTGCGGAAATCATTCCAGATTATAAATATTGTATAAATAACAGAATTAACTTTGTTATTTATACAATTACAAGAAATAATCAGGGAAAGGCATATATATATATATATATATATATATATATATATTACACATCAGATCCCATATGGGTCTGCCAGGCTCTCTAGCACAAGGCAATGATGAAATCAATCAATTATTAATAGGAAGTATGCTGGAGACCTCAGAATTTCATTAAAAACACCATGTAAATAACAAAGGTTTAAAAAAGGATTTTTCCATCACTTGACAACAATCTAAGGAATAGTATTTCCATGTGATCTTGTCTTACTGGAGAGAGGATCGGGACCTCTGTTCTCTTGGTCCTACGTTTTTAATCTCTTCCTACCTCTCTCTGAAAACCTCCTTGTCTCCTCATCCCACCTGTCTTGCTTTCCTATTGGCCAAAAGGGCTTTATTTGTTAACCAATAAGAGAAACATTTACAGAATGACATCTCCCACTAGTCCTTGAACTACTAAACACCACTCTAGGACTGGTTTGGGACTAATACTCCACTAGACAATTCCAGATTAGCTAGCTGAGATGGTGCACCTTCTTATAAACATTCTGGCCAGAGCTTCAGATAAGAACTATAGTCAAAGCTGGGTGTTGGTGGCCCACACCTTTTATCCAAGCTCTCGGGAGGCACTGTCACAGCTAATGTCCCCTCTTAGAAATATTAGGTACAAGACTTTACAGTTCAGGATAGCTTCATAGTAATCTCTGTTATGCCTTTACCCTGGGTCTGGATATATAGTTTATGTCAATTGCTCTATGTTGCTTTGCTGATAGGTCTTAATTTGTGTGTGTTTTTACTTTTCCTTCTCCACGAGTATACTTGATAGTTTTGTATCAAGCCTAAGCCTTCTTCTCTAGACTAAAAGGAAAATTGTATCCTTGTCTTGCCTGAGAACCTGTAACAGTGGCCATACCTTTTGGGCATGGTTACAGGTGCAGATGTGACCAGTTAAAGGGGAGGTTGGGGAGCAGAGAGACAGGAGAGGCAGTGTCTGCATCCTTCCAGCAGGGACGCCAATAGTCACTCACTGTTACCTAAGTAAGTCCATCCTCAAATAAACACCTATCATTCATCTTGGTTTGGCAAACTCATTATAACTCCTTGCTTTCATAACAACTTTAAAGTTTAAAAATAAACATGAAGAGACGTGAGCATCATCAGCTAACTTGTAAGGGTGTGAGGTTCTTGTGTAACTTGTGTTATGATAAACCTTGTGGGGGACCATGTGTGTGCGTGGACCTTGGCAGATTTCATGGCCGGTGAAGTTGACAAAGGTGGGGGACAAACATGCCAGGCAGACAGAGCCTAAGTGAGAAGTTTCATTAGAAAGGGAAGGGAAGGGGAAGGGAGAGAAAAGAGGTAAAGAGACAGAGATACAGAGAGACACAGAGAAGATAGAAGAAAAGAGGGAGACAGAAAAAGTCCTGTCTGCCCCAGGGGATCAGCAGGAAAAAGGGTGGGAAAGAGAGGAGATAGAAAGAGAGGAGCAAACAAAGAGGAGAGAGCAGAAAAAGAGCATGAGTATCCAGGGGTCTTTCCTTTAAAGGGGTTCTTTTTGGCCTGCATGTAGACTATGCAATCATGGAACCCTGGGCTGACCAGGGTACCGCCTGAGTGCAGGTGACAGGGGCAAGTCAGCATAATGCCTGGATCCTTAGAGTAAGTCTGTAAGGTCCTTGTGTAACTTGTAAGGGTATGAGGTCCTTGTGCTCAAAGATGAGCATCAGAGGGACCAGAAATGTTAAACACACAGGGTTGTCTCTTCAAAGGACAAGATATATAACCTGTTTCCTGCCCAGACGTCTGGGAATGGATGTGGTTAACATCTTGGTGACCTTTGCAGTATCTATGTGACTGAGGTTGAATCTAGCTCCCCAGATTCCTACAAATAAATGCAGAGGTGGTGACCTCTGTGCTATATGTATGACCAAGACCACACCAGATCCTCTATAGACCCTTAAGATGACACAGATAGTCTATCTATAAAACCCATCTTCATGGAAGAGGTGACATGTTTTTTGGGAAGAGTTTCAATGTAATTATGCCTTAAGCTATTATGCACAACAGGATTGTGTTACACCAGGAAACTTCTTTCCAAATTACACTTCCTAAAAGAGGGGCTAGAGATATGGCTCAGTGATTACAAGCACTAGACTCCTCTTTGAAAGAACTGGGTTTGGTTCCCAGAACCCTCACACAGACATACATG